GAGAGAGAGAGAGAGAGAGAGAGAGAGAGAGAGAGAGAGAGATGGGGGAGTCGATGAGGATTAGGAGGAAGTCGGTGACTGGGGGGGGAGGTTAAAGGTTCATCATGCTTTTTTGTCTTTTTCTTCTCTATTTTTTTTCCGTATGTGTGTGTGAGAGAGAGAGATAGACGGGGGAAAGGAGGGTGAGGGGAAGCCGGCGAGGTGGTGAGTGGTATAGCCGCGCCAAGTGCCAGGATGTCTTTTGTATTTTGTCTTTTGTCTTTTGAGTTTTTTTTTTTTTGTTTTGTTTTTGTGTGTGTGTGAGAGAGAGAGATGGGGGGGGACTGTGCCAAGCTGTCCGTTATGTGACTCTGACATGTGCTACTTCGTTTCTTCTTTGCGTTTTGCGTTCCCGGAAATGCTCCAAGATGCTCTCATGTCAATGCTACTCCTGAGAAGTCCCCCACCCGAAGAGCAACTGCCAAGCAGATTGAATGCTGATTTGATTGTTTCATTCATACAATGCAAAACCTGCGTAACATCAGTGTCACTCCTATAGTTGGAGCCGACTTCCTTCAACTTCCCTGGGCCAATCGTCAATGACATCATCCGAGCCCACCAAAKTGAGACTCACCCACACACGCATGCACTTGCGCACATAGCGTAAGAACTCAACAAGTAAGCACGGGGCATGCATACATGCAATATGGATTGATCACAAACATATGCAGAGAACACAACAAACAAAGTCTGATCTGAATGTTCAGCTGCAAAAACATCAACGGGACAATGGACAGGATTTTCTCAGAAAAGTGCAGAGTTCTTGCACATCACAAAACAAAAACGATGCTGCGAAGGTAATGGCTCCCCAAACAAAACACCCAAAGATAAAGGGAAAAAAAGGCTCGACGGCATATGATAGGGGAGTTCCTTATGCTTTTTCTTTCTTTTGTGCTTTTTTCCTTTTTTGTTTTTGCGGGCGAAGCCGCAACGGGTCATCTAGTAAGGAATGAGAACCTCTATAAGACCATCTGAATATTCGGATGACTGGCTAATGGAGGTGGCTGGCATACTGCTATCATACTATGCCTAGCATCCAACCTTTAGAACAACCTGGGCTTAAACCACCAGTACCTTTCCACAATGCCCAGAGCCGGCCCCAGTCGCGAAATGGCTGGCGGGGCCAGCCAGATACGTCAGCGTCGCCCCACGACCGGTATATGGGAAAGGTTGTCGTGGCGGTTAACAAGGAAATTTGTTACCCCTGCGAATTGGCTGGCAGGTCCAGCCAGATACGTAGGCGTCGCTTCGAGTTTTCGTGGTGCGCAGGGCGAATTTGGCCCCATGGTCGATATATGGGAAAGGTACTGGTGGATTAAGGGAAGGAAAAACAAAACAAAACAAAACAAAACGGATATCCTGCCGACCACTGGTGCCTGAGACTGCTGTCCGGTCACCAGCACCCCTAGCATCCACTCGGGTTGTTCTTGTAAAAAAAAAAGAAAATCCCATCAAGGAATGAATGGTACATGGAAAAGTATGCGAAGTGGTAGACACTGACTGGGGTCTGAGGGAGTGGGTGGTGGGCTGGAGAGTTGATGATCGAGGGATGGGTGGGCTTTGTGAAGGGGAAACCTGTCGTTTAACCCGATTGTTTTATAACCTGTCAGATTCATTATCATGCTGCGTTTACTGGGCCTGACGCACTGAGGATTCCTCTCGACGCTCCGTAACGGTTGCAGTATTTTCCTCAGGTAGACTGCGAGAACCCCATCCTTGTCGGGTAATAGACACTGAGGGTGAGAGCACCTGCCCAGCTTGGGGAAACTGAAATTCAATTGCTTCACTGCAGGATGTTTCCCTGGGCCCGATTCCCAGCAGGTGCTGATCCCCACCAATAGATGGAGCAGCCCAACAGATAAGCCCTCAATTCTGCCGGTACTGGGAGTATTACCAAGCTCTTCTGTTATGCCGTAGCTTGCTGAAAACGGCGGTCCAATGTGACAAACTGTTCGCTGCAACCGTGCGGGGGGGATTGGCTGAGTCGGAATGGCCTGGTGGATTGCATGATGCCTGTCTTTTTTTTTCTCGTCTCTTTCGACTGAAGACTGGTCTGGTCCCACGACGGTTGATAGTTGATCGCGCCTCAGCGAGCGCGACGAATATACGGTTGCCATAACTTCTTTCTTGTTCTGCTGTGGGAAATGAGAATTTTGGCGCTATTGTCACGCGGGTAAATCTTTTTAAATTTTCAACTGACGTCGAGCCCCCACGGGGCTCTCGGAATTTGCTTTGTTCGGATTTTCTTTTTGCAATCAGGACTTAGATTAGGAATTTCGGCGCATCTCAATTTCTGCTGCACGACGCTTCCTGCTTGCGCACACTCGGCCGCGCCAGGAACTGTGTTTTGACTTTCCCACGCCTTAATTTCATATGTAACTGTAATCTTTATTTGGCGGGCGTAACTATCGAAGGTATACAGTCTTTACTAATAGGTGTTTTCATTTATGTAATAAATTTGTGACCGCAATCCTCTTGTTCTTGATATATTTTGTGGCACCTTTGCACGGGCATACCTCTCCCCCATCCTATTGCATGAACGGATCGATGTGTGGAGTGTGGCTACGTCGCCCACGCCACGGCCTGACCATGTAGGCGTAAGCACTTCCTTCCTCATTCCTCCCACCTGAACACGATCCCGAGTATCTCGCGCAAAACATGGATGCTATAAATCTCGCGCTTGCTATAAATCTCGCAAGCGCGATTAATTCACTCTCTAAGACTTTCTGGAGTTAGCGCGGTCGAGAGGATCGACTAACAAGGAGGAGGTCGCAGGTGAGTAAGAGAGCTGGGCGATCTGAGAGCTGGTGCTGATCGTGCGGGGTTGACGTGGGGCCGCGACGGACTGTGGCACACGGGCGAACCTGACGGGCATGCTCAGGCTAAGCAGGGTGACAACTTGGCGTAGGTGCAAGGCGAAAAACTGCTCACATCGGGACGTTGTGAAGAGAGAAAGAGAGAGCCTGAGAGTGAGAGAGAGACGGGAAGTATGCGATGAGCTTCTTCTTCTATCCCTCTAAGCCATTTTGATTCTTCTTCTTCCCTTCTGAGCAATTTTAGTATCCGGCGCAAGTTGCCTTTGTTTCTTTCAATCGACATCTCGGATCTTTTCTTCACTTGTCTTTAGTGATTGAGACTGTTTCTCCCATTTTGTTCTCCCCTCTATATGGATGGACCCCATTGATTGGTTAATTGCCTACGATTGAATTTTGTACGATCCTGATGCATGAATGATTGTCACCTTCCTTCTTTTTTGTTTATGTATGCATAAAACTGGACGCGTGGACGATGGGTATTTGTCTGTCGAAATTAAACAAGCATGTTAGATGATCAAATGTCTGTCTCGCCATAGGGCTATCCACCCTTGGTTAAGAGGCCATCACATACGAGACCTGGGTCATTAGTCATTGTCTGTTGGACCGAAGGGCAGGCCTTGTGCACCCACGTGTAAGCCCGATTAGAAGAACGTGGCCTACACGCGTGTTTGCAGTGCCTGTGCTCGGTCCAACTTTTTGAATGACTGAGTCGCCACCTCACCCCACTGCATGAATATTGAACTCCCTTTTCGTATTACTGAATGCGAGTGTTTGAGAGATCCAGAATTTTTGGAGTATTGGGAGCACGTGTGTCTGTCCGCACGACCGAGGAGAG